CTTAACGACTAAACAACAACAACAACAAGCGCAGACACTTGCTATAATGCATGGGAGGATCTTTTCTAAATCTAAATTGCGGGGGGGGGGGAATTTATGTATGTAAAGAGAATAAAGGTGGGTGGAGGGATAGATGGATGGATAGTCAATCAAAGAATGAGGGATAAATGGAATTTGCATACTGTATAGATGAATGGAAGTGGTGTGTGTAAATACAAATGTGGCTATGCTGTTACACAGATCTTCCCATATCCCCTCCAAAGGATGCAACCTTTTATGGACAAAAGATTCCTCATATTGGTTTTGTATTATTTGTCAGAGGCCCATAATACCTAACCAAATACCTACAAATATAGGTATCAAACACCAATTGCTATAACCCACACTATTGTATTTCCACTTTTTTCCCCTTCCCAAATACCTTCATTTACATAATTTTGCTTCCCTTCATCCCTTGATTTTGGAAAGTTATAAACAGACTAAGGGGCCAGATGGGTTAGAAATAAGATTTTGAAATTAATTATAAGAATACTTCATGTGGGTTGTTTAAAATCCTATTAAAAATATATGAAGATTTTGAACCTAAGTGTAAGAAATCTTCCCATGGGAAAATGTGGATTAGAAAAAAACATAAGAGGAGACTTTGACGGCTGGACACTAGAGGCAACCAGAAAGAACTAAAGATTATAATTAAAGGAGAAGAGACCCACTATACAGAATGGAAAAGTATTTTAAATCTGGAAGAATTTAAGGATATTTGGGAACAATGCACTCAGAAATTTCTATTAAGATTGTCTGCTACCATAACATGGGTTTAAAAGAGGAGATAGAAAAGGATACAACTGAGAATCAGGCTGTTTTGGATTTGGATTTAAAAATGACAAGTTACAAGAATGATATGGAAAAAGATGTTATACTGGATTTACAAATGAAATTGGCTGATGTCAAAAACTAAGAGATAAGATATGGGAAGAAGAGGGTTATTTTTTGTATTTTTAGAGAAAATGATAAGTTACTTTGTTAAAAGTAAAGGAATTGAATATGAAATTGATTTATTTGATTAAGGTTAAAATATACAGTACTGTGCAGAAGTTTTAGGCAGGTGTGAAAAAATGCTGTAAAGTAAGAATGCTTTCAAAAATATATATTGTAATTATGTTTATCAATTTACAAAATGCAAAGTACACTAACAGAAGAAAAACCCAAATTAAATCAATATTTGGTGTGACCGCCCTTTGCCTTCAAAACAGCATCAATTCTTCTGGGTACACTTGCACACAGTTTTTGAAGGAACTCAGTAGGTAGGTTGTTCCAAACATCTTGGAGAACCAACCACAGATCTGTGGATGTAGGCTGT